GGGGGGGGGGCAAGGAGCTTTCACCGCTCTTCAGTAGCAGAAGAAACAGAGAACAGAAGCATCACTACCAGAAGCAGGAACCCACCTTGGGTGTTCCAGAACCTTCTGAAGCTCAGTAGGGTGGGAATCTCCACTTTGAACAGGTGCTTGGTAATTACATTTGCAGCCTGATCCTGGGGGACTCCCAGGGGCTTGCTGAGGCTCTCTGATGGTGAATGTCACTGGGAATGTCTTGCCTTGACCTACCTGGAAACCAAGTCAGGCCCCCGCCCCCCGCCCCCCGCCAGTGCATCTCCTCCTGGAACTGGGGGGAGGATGGAAAGCAGCCAGGGAAGGCTTCCACAGGACATGGGGCCTGCCTGCTGCACTTCCCTCCTCCTCCCCCTCCCTGGCCCCCTCCTCCCAGCGCAGTGGAGGGCCGGCGGGCTCAGGGGGGTGCGGCAGAGGCGCTCATGTGGCTGTAGGAGTACCTGGACAGGGACGCCCCCGAGGTCCTGCCTTCCTCCTCCTCTCCCACCTCTCCCCTCGCCCCCGGGGGTCCCGGGTTGGGGCAGCAGGGAAAGGTGGCCATGAAGCCGAGGCGGAACCGTTTGTTCATGAAGCAGTAGATGATGGGGTTCACGCAGGAGGAGGTGTAGGAGAGCAGGAGGATGAAGGAGATGGGGGTCCCTGAGAGGTGGCGCTCGGCAGAGGTGGTGTCATAGGCCCGCCAGGCGTTGGCGCTGAAGATGGGCATCCAGCACAGGAAGAAGAGGACCACGATGACCATGAGCATGCGGATGACCCGCTTCTTGGCCATCAGGTTGGCGGCCGAGCTGCTGCTCCGGACGCGGTGGAGCCTGCCGCTGCCGCTGCGGGTGGACAGCTGCTGGAGCTCCAGCCTCCTCGGGGACCGGGACTTCTGCAGGTAGCAGCCGTCGCTGTCCTCGAATCGGCTGCCACTGCCCGTGCTCGGTTTCCTCTCTGGGAGGGCAAGGGACATCACTTATGGCTCAGGAAGGGTCATGCCAGACAGAGGGCATGGAGCCTCAGCCCCTCTCCATCTGGGAGGCCAAGACAAACCTGAACTGGAGGATCAAGGTCACCTTGACCTACGCTGACCTTGGGTAAGAATTGATCCTACTAGTTCTCTCCTTGGAATGAAAAGCCACTTAAAATGTGTGTGTGTGTGTGTGTGTGTGTGTGTGTGTGTATGTGTGTGTGTGTACACAAATAAAATGTAATTTTAATAATATATGTGAATGACACAATGTATAATAATACCTGGGACAAAATAGTATAAGGATAGAAATGATTAGATAATTTTCCTGTCTTTCCTGGTCCCTAGGGGAAGCTCCTGCTTGCTTGCTAAGTTTCAGAGAGTTTTTACTGTGAGATGGTGAGAAAGAGTCAAGGAAACCCACAGAAGTCAGAGAGACTAAGTTGTCTACGTAGTAAAAAGCCAAGTGAGGAGGTGGAGTGAGAAGGCAGAGGCTATGTCAACACAGGTGTTGGTACAATTTTAGTGAGTGGGGAAGGGGTCAGGGTTTGTGGTCACTGCAGAGTGAGCATGAGACGGGGGGAGAGAGGATGGGGCTTGTGGAGTGTCTGTCAGATTTCTTCTGAGGCCTTTGGAGAGACCCAAACACAGGTCAGGATTGTAATTAGCCTTGGTTATTGTAGGGTGTCCACTTGAATACAGGGGGACGGAAAGTCTGGGACGTGTGGCTCTCTGCTGATAATTGGGTGATATGTGTATTATCTCTTTTTATTCCTCTTGGTGCCCTCTTGAAAGGAATTATTTCCCCATCTTATAGATGAAGAAATAGAGGGTGGGAACCAATCCTGGGCCTAAGAAACAGAGTTTCATAAGAATTGTCTTCAAAGACTTCAGTATACTCTGTGAAGGGTCTGGTGTGTCCTCTCAAGTCAAGACAACACGCTTGCATGCTCTTCTGACGTAAACAGACAGTTAAAAGATATTTACCTTTAGCAGATTTCTTCTGGCTAGCATCAAATTTTATTCCTTGATAGAGTTCCAAAGAGATTAATCCGTACGCCACCATCATCACAATTCCAGGAATAAGAAAGAGGATGAGCAGCAGGAACGTGTGCCTAATAAAATTGAAAGAAATCCAATTACCAGCAACTCTGGACCTTCAGACTCAAATGGGAATGGGTGATCTAGGGGCATCTTTGTTTGAGCTGGTCTGAGCAGACACATTCATTACTAGTCTTTAATACCCTTGAAAATTCCATGTCTGGAGGTTCCGTCATTGGAAGTTGTTTTCTTCTTTTCTTTTTTTAGATGGAACGTCTTGTGAAGGACTGGTCAAATTGAAAAAGGTTGGCATGATTTTGTGCCTGGAACAAGTTTACGTGTTAGAAAATAATGAAAATCTGGGCTTGGTGATGTATGCATGTGATCCCAGATGTCAGGCGTCTGGGACAGGAGGGTAGAGAAGCTTGAGGATGGCCTCAGTGACCTAGGGAGACCCTGTCTTAAAAAAAAAAAAAAGACAATAACATGGAAGGGGATGGGAATAAGAAAGAGAGTAGAATGGATCGGACATTACTTTCCTATGTTCATACATGAATATACTCCACATCATGTACAACCACAAGAATGGGAAGCTATACTCCATGTATGTATGATATGTCAAAATATATCCTATAGGCATGTATATCTAAAAAGAATAAATAAAAACTACATTAAAAATATTAATAGCTTAAAAATGAGAATATGTGATTTACATATTATGTTACCAAAATTAATAATCATAATAATAGAGATTACGTTCATTGAGGATTTGTCATATGTGCTACACACCAGATTAGGCATTTTACATAAAATAGTACATTTAACTCCCATAATAACCTTTGAAGTAGACACTATTATTCTAATTCCTATTTCAGAGAAGAGGAAATTGAGACCTAAATAACGTGTCTAAAGTCACGCAGCTAGTGACAGAGTTGAAATCTGAACCCAAGCAATACGTCGCTGGAGTCACTACTCATAAGCATCACAATACACAGTTTGTTGACTTTATAGCAAGAGAATAATCATATGCCTACACAGGGATGATAGAAAATCTCCTTTTTGTTTTATGAAATATGGCATCCTCTCTCTTTCTGACCCCCCAGCAGCTCGAAGATTTCCTTGGGTGTTTATTCTCCACGGTGGCATGCTTGGTAGAGTGCCTGGCTGGGTAGAACTCTGCTTCCTCTAAACACATTTGTTTCCCGAGGCACGGCGGCCTCCTCTCTAGGAGTCCGGCCCCTAAATCACTTCTGCAGCCTGGCAAGTGCAAGGCTGCACAATTAGGCCATCAAATTGTCAGAGGCTGACCGCGGCTGGGCCATTTCTCATCACAACTGGACGTGTTGATAAGATTCCCTTTCAGGTCTTAGAAATATCCCTCTCCTTTGTAACATAATTCTTTTTTTTTCAAATTATAGGTGGACACAATATCTTTTTTATTTTTATGTGGTGTTGAGGATGGAGCCCAGTGCCTCACACATGCTAGGTGAGCACTCTACCTCTGAGCACAACCCCAGCCCATGTAGCATAATTCTTTTTGTGGGTGCGTGTGCTACCTGGTTAAAATGAAGGAGGAAGGCAGAGAAAGCAGAGAAGATCTCCGTCTTGAGCCTCTGTTTCTGAATGCCTACTTCTGGCTTCTAAAACATCCTTGGAATTAGTAAAAATGATGCTCTGTATTTGTATCACCTCTTTATAAAGACATTTTTTTTCTACTCATGTTCTTACTGGAGCCTTAGAGCCACCCAATACGGTAGATTTATTGTATTAATCCCTTGCAGAAATGAAGACCCTGAGGCCTAGGGCACTGTGTGAACTTTCCCAGAGTTACCCAGCTAGTAAGCCAAGGAACAGGTATTAGAATCTCGCCTTTCTCTGGTCAAGTGTTCTGGGCAAGCATCACAATGCAGCTCTAATAGTCACGCGGGGATCTGGGAGTCACTCTCTGTTCTATCTTCAGTGCTTTGGAAAATTGTAGCTTTCTGAGTCACCTGGCTTAAACCTCCACTAGACCTTCTGCAAGCATACTGCAGAGTCATTAAGCACAGAGACTCTGCTCCACGTGAATTTGGTTTATTGAGTTTAGGCCACTTGACCTTTCCAGGACTCTGTTCCCTCATCTGTAAAATGGGCGCAGTGATATTATCTACCCTATAGGGTTTCAATAGTATAGATTGAAGCAATCTACATATGGCATTTTAAAAAGAGCTTTCCAGCTGTGCGTTTGCTTACTCTTACTCTAGGATGAGGTTAGAATGCCTCATTAGCGGTTAGCAACTCAAAAAGTCTCCAGGACCCTGATCCCCCAAGTATTCTGGCCAAGGCATTCCAGATTTTCATGCTGCAGATGTATCAAGTTATATTTAAAAAAAAATAAATAAACACAGTGCCTCCTTACCAGGACTGCTGCATAACATCATTTGGCAGTAGGAAGCGGCACATATTTGCGGTCTGGTTGTTATTTTTGGTAAAAGGCACCAAGTTGCTATAAATGGGGTACGGAGTCATGATGGTAAAGGAGAGGCACCAGGTAGCAGCAATCACCTTCAGAGCGTGGGATTTCGTCTGCCAAACGCGGGACTGTAAGGGCCTACAAATTGCACCATATCTCTCCAGAGATATGGCCACCAGATTAAAGGTGGAAACACTCACAGAGGTGCCTGGGAAGGAAGAAAGAAGCTGATTATGTTGGCACTGAAATCCAAAGTTTATTTGCACTTTAGCTAAAGCATAAAAGCATATCTGATCTGCACAGGTCTAATCTCAAAGGAGAATGCTCCAGGGGTAAAGAAATACTGTGCATGCATATTTCAGAAAGATGATCTATTCCCAGCTTTGTTCTGAAAGGATTTAAGGCAGTTAACAAAATGTATTTGCAAATACATCTCCCTGCCAATGTTGAGATAAGTTTATTGAGCTTTGATTGCAATTGAACTCTTGCCTGGGCTGAGGGTGCTCATTAATTAATAACAGGGGGATAAAAATATGGCGCCCCTACACAGAAACCTAAAGAAAAGCTCTGATTTTACACATGATCTGTTTGGTTAAATTGACCTTAAAAACCCAAGACTCTCAGGGCTCTGACCCAAAAGGTCAGTGGGATTTGAGCTAGAAGCATTAATTTTTGGAAGGCTCTAGTACATGTTATTTTTAAGACTGAAACATCCTACATTTTAAAATGTAGTTTGTTGAAAAGAATATTCAGTAAAAAAAAATGCAAGAGAAATGTTCTATAGTACAATTAAAGGTTTCTCCAGATGAGAGAACTAGGGTTTTCCTTTTTGTTCTTTTGTTTCTCTGTATTTTATTAAGTGTACATCACCAATATAGTGGGAAATACATCTCACTTCAAAACATGTTCTTGGGTCATAGTCAAAAAACTTAATTTCCCCTAATTTTTATATTATGTATATGTGTTTGTTATCATGTCTTTAAATTACCCTTGAATCCTTCAGCTATGACTTCTGTTGACTCTTATCATTTCCTCTTACTATGATTTTTTTTCTTTTTGGTGCTGGGGATAATCTCAGGGTCTTGGATATGCTAAGGAAGTTCTCTACCAGTGAGCTAGGCCTTCAGTCCCACTATGATTTCTTAAATCTCAGAATTAATAAAGAATTAGGAACAGAGGTTCTTAACCTGGCAACTTACCATGAGTATGGATATAAATTAATTATCTTTAGCTATGTACAAAAATTCTTTTTCTAGGGAGCCTAGCCTAGCTGTCCTTAGAGTCTTAAAGAAGTTCTATCAATCCCCAAACCATTGACCGAC